CATCGCGCTGACATCACCCCTCGCCCGGCCCGGCGGCAGCTCCCGGCCTCCTGCACACCTCACCTTGCAGACCGAGGCGAATCCAACCCGCCGGGCGGGCAGGCAGCGCATCAGCTCTGCAAAGATCGTGTCCCTCCCCCGCCCCCGGCAGAGCGCACCCCCTCCAATTTACCTAATCACACTAGTCTGATTAACCTCCCGCAGCTGGAGAGAATTAGGTTTACAAGCTTCGCACCGAGAGAAAGGGATCCCTCAGCGCTACTCGGATCACTGCAAAAATGCTCTGCACACTGTATTTCAGCTGCTGGTTTCCCACCGTATGGGTGGGCTTGGCAGGAAGGTGCTCTTCCTAGGTCTCCTAGAGCCTCTCATTAACGTGCACCTTAAAGCGAGCTACAGAAACTTGACCAGGGATCAGCAAGACTCCAGCTTGTGACGACGCACCATTTATTCCAGTGGGGAAGCTCCCATCCCCGTTTCATCAGGCAGGAGTTGTGACGGTCCATTTACTTTAAGATTTGCTTCAGCACTCATTGCACTTTTGAGCACTGAGCACTTACTAAAAATATTTATTTTTATTCGTCTAGGAATTTTTTTTTTTTGCCCAATTGAAACACCTCTTTCCATCCATTTTAAATATTTCATACTATTGCATGTGGTGTGAATGCCATTTTTTTGCATGTCATTAATAATGGCTGTGTAGCTAATGCAGTAGAAAGCAGTAGCAAACAGAATAGATGGCTTTTCGGCATCCAGTGCCTATTTTAAGAATCTAGAAATGGTAGGCACCACCTCAGGTGTCATAAACACCAGAAGTCAAAAATGCTTTTCCCCGAAACAAACTGCTTCCCAGGGCTGTGTGGAACGTTGCAGGTTCCAAGCAATCATTTTGATACATTATAATGACCGACAAGCACAGCACAACAGGGCTGTACAAAAATAACGAGCTGCCAGCGCCCAGCCCACGTGCGGCTAAGAGCCGGCAGGTCAGTCAGGCCAAGCCGCCTCCTGTCTCCACTGGCTCCCAGCCCAAGCAGGTCATGTGCAAACTGCAGGGGACCGGCAGCACCTCGGAAATCAAAAGGCTGGAAGGCGGCCAGCCCTGCTGGCCTCGAGGGCCTGGGTAAGCAGCCCCCACCTCCCACCTGCAGCACCAGGCTCACTGCAGTCAGCATGGTGGCCCACAAGCCGCCGCTGCTTGCCAGCCAGCAAGGGCTCCAACATCAGGTTCGTCCAGCTTAGACGTCGCTCCTTGCTGAAGGCAAGTCCTGCAGACAGGTGAAGGACTCGAGAGCCAGGCTGGCTTTGGTGGCTCCCACGTGCGTTACCCCAGCAAGGATGCGAGGGGCTGGGTGCTCTGGGCTGCGCCCGGGAGCAGCGAGCCTCTGCATTAGAGGCGGAAACGAACAAGCATTTCTCACCCTTACAAACTGCAGACAGGAGCTCTGCTTGCTCTGCTCCCAAGTTCAACAGAACTGGCAGAGCATCTCTGCCTTTCCACGTTACTATTAAACTGGTCTGTGTACAACCTAGGGATAAGCCATAAGGTGGTGGTTTCTTGCATCTCCTCTTAAAATACTTGCTTGCCATCAGCTTCCCAATGCCACATATTTATGAAGTGCGGTCGCTCAGGCTGCGGAGCCAGGAGGTGCCTGAACACCCAATAACTGAGCTGTTTTAACACCACAAGTGCGGCAGCCTGGTGCAACGACTTGACTGTATCTTGGCTGAGACAGCTGGTCCCCAAAGCTGTGTCAGTTCAGTGCAGTCAGCCCCTAGGGTGACAGGGGATGTCCACGCGCACATGTACATGCAGGGGGAAGACTGCTTACAAGCCATTCCCAGCCAACCTCGGCTCTCAGACCCCAGTTAGTGGCTCTTGACCCCTTGTCTTCCTACATGCACCTGATCCTCCAGTCATGCCCCTGTCCTCTCTGTTTAGTTAAATGATCCATCCCCCAACTCCTAAGGGTAAGATCTCCCAGCACAAATGACTAAAAAAATCCCAAATATACCTAAATAAGGACTGGAAGGGACTTAGTCTAATGAAGTCCAGGCCCTCATCTCACAAGCAACCATGTGCGTAGTGGTTTTAGGTTGAAACTCCAGGCATTCTTAGTGAAGGACAAAAAAAAACCTCCTCCTAGAGCTTCATCTTGCACACAGCCAGAAACTTTTCTATTTCCCACTTAGAGGTATTCTGATCTCCAGTTTATCTGATATCCCATTGTTCTCTGATCATTCAATTCCTTTAGCTCACGTAAATCATCTTTCTCTTGGATATCTACCATCAATATTTTTATTTCTTCAATCTTTACTTTGCAACGGTGGATGGGCCAAACCCTCAACCCCTTAACCTCTCGTCTGGATAAGCGGAACTAACCTAGCAGGAGTGCACAGGAACACAAAACTAACCTAAAGGCTTATTCACATACCCAGTAGTGGCTCTTAGGACCCTTGAGGCCACCTCAGGGCACCTCAGTCCCAGGGTGGCTCACGGGACCCTCCAACTTTCAATTCTTTGTGACTTTTATTGTAAAGTATCCGACAAAAGAAAACAAAGGGCAGTGGACTATGGAAGCAAAGACATAAAGGAAAAACCTTTAGAAAGAGATACTTTACCAATGTCAACTAAAGCATAAATTACAAAAACAAAGCAGTTTTAATTTACCAGGATTAGAAACAATAGGCTGATAGTTCCGGTGATTATTTCCCACTGCTTGGACCACTGGGTCTTACAAAGCTGCCTACTAGTACATGCAGATGCTCAGATAATCACAGCACTAAAGAACTCCCTGGATTAAAATCAATAGATATTAATTCAATTAAGCTCTATCAACCATGAATGTGAAAACTAAGTCAATAAAAAGATATATGCTTTTTCTCAGGGTTAGTTTAAGCCAAGCGACACAAGAAAGAAATTTCTTATGAAATCACTTACTTTTTGAGGATTCAGACGTTTACAGTTCTGTTTTTTAAACTCTTCACTGTTCCTGTGTCCTCACCGAATTAGCACCTCACCAATTAATATCCACTCTGGAAAGACACAGTTTAACTACCTGACAATCAGGAAGAGAGAAATTTCCTCCCTTCTGTGAAACTAATGGCTGCTTCATGCCTATCCTTTTGGTAAAGCCGAAATGTTTACTTGCGGCTTAACTGCCCATTATGCACCCTCCGCAGCAACTATGAGTGACAACATTTCCCAGCAACAAGTTTAACCCAAATCACATGATGAAGGGAGGGTTTTGCTCATTTAGGCAAGTCCACATCCTCCTTCTACTCAGATATTAGAAATCTGATGATTTTCGTGTTTAATACACTGAAGAAACAGCAATTCTCCAGAAGGCAAATTCCCTCACCTAACTATTACTTTTGTCAGGTGAAAACACACAAGCACATAAATGAAATACTACATGTATGCGTGCGTGTGCATATAAATATATGAATATACATATGTATATACATACTAGTTTGAGTAGGCTCTTTCAAAGCAGCACTCCATGTAACTTCTGCGAACAAAATGAACAGGCTGTTACAGTCTATGAAATCACGATGCAAGAATATGCAAAAGATGCACTGGATGATGAAGAATGATACCTGGAAAAAAATACTGTTGTTAGAAACAGCCTGTTTTCCACAGACTGTACTGTTATACTTGTGCTTTTTCTCATTTTCCACAAATAAGGAGGAAAGGTTTTGCTATGCAACTTTCACACCATGACTATTCAAATCTTGTATTCATATGACAACAAAATAGTGTGTTGAGACTATACCTGCCACTCAGATGATACTTGAAAATCATGGGATTTTCAAGTATGCTGTAACAAGGAACTATTAGCACTGAACAACAAACTACAGTTATTCAGTGACTGTCACTAGCAAACTTGATAAGACCTGACAACAACATTTTTCCATTTTAGCCAGTGCTGTCTCCTCCCTCAAAAAGGAATGCCTGTGCTTGACAAAAAATAGTTTCAGAGAGCTACAGAGATTACAGAAACTAAAAAAGGCCTATGCAAACCACAGTTCTTTCACAGTGTGCTCCAGTCCTCAGTGCTACTACAGGAATGGATCAACTTACAGTTTTTTAGTTTGTGTAAACTACCAGGAACTACTCCAGGACACTTTTCTAGTTTTTAAAAGGTTTTAGGAAACAAGCCCTCAGAAAGGAAGCCAGAATTTACCATTATGCATCTAGTTGCCCTATGTGGCAATATGGATTGAGTGAGATGTCTGGGTTGGGCCCAAAGCCTAACCAGCTTAGGTTCTCCGAAACCCCAAGTACAGAGATGAACCTGACACACTGGTCTTCAGGATTTTGGCTGCCTCCATCCACTTGGGATCCAACTCAGTAGTCCAGTTGCCCGTATCTGTTCTTCCAAACAACTGAAGGCTTATTTTCCTTTTAAAGTATAAGCTGTGGAGATGCAGCTGTCATGCCTTTTTTTTTTTTTTTAAAATGTAACGGGTCTTTTGGTTAAAACCAACAGTTTGACTAGGGTTACATACAAAGGACAGGACTGTGACCTAGGAGGTAATTTAAGTTTCACATCCTGCATTCATCTATTAAGAATTCACAGCTAAGTTGCTCAAGCTTGGTATGATGAAAACAGTGCAGAAAACAAGCAGGTGCCCAGCAAGGAGAGGGTAACAAGTCCCAGTCCCTCAGTCAGTGCACTATCACTATTCAGACACAGTTACTCTCAGCTATGATGCTGCATGATGCTGGCTGTGACAGAGCTGCTCCGAAACACTAAAACTGCAAACAGGGCAATAG